TGGTAAATTATTTTCAGAATTAGTGTATAGCGTATCTAATATTTATAATGGTGTATGAGAGGTTAATGTGCCTAGAATCCAAAAGAAGAGATCTCGGATTCCTTGGAAAAAACACTCCTAGTTCTAGGAGTAATTTTACAGAGTAATAGTTAAACTGCTGTTTATGCAAGCCTAAATTGAAGAGCAACATGCTGAAATGTAGGCCACTGAATGTAGTTCATCCCTTTTTTTTTAAAAAAAAAAAAAAATGGGGGCTGGCTTTAAAGTAAGTAACCCTGGCCTAAATCGACTGCATTCTCTACCGATGTGCTTATTTGACCATTCTTGGAACCGTAGCAGAAAGCTTTTAAGTTAATAACTTTTTTTAAAAAAACCAGCTGACACGCAGTTTATCCAGAGCAAATTGACGGAGAAGAAGAGCTGTCTCTCCCTTTTTTCTCTTTGAAAAGGAACAGGAGAAAGTTAGCTGGCAATCTCTTTTGGGTTAGCCACAAACTCTGAGCCCAGAAACAAAACTAAGATAGAGCACATACTGGTTGCAACAGAACAGCAGATTTATTCACTCTAATGATGAATGATAATTAAGGCGGTGCTCATGTGAACTTTATGATTAAGCTGTAGTCAGCACTGAACTTATTGCAGTCAGAGCTGCCTCTCAGATCTGCCTGCTGTGGATCTAGGTTCAGAAAAATAAACGTTACTTGTGGTTCTTAAGAGTTTATTTGTTGTAATGTTTACTTATTTTACTTAACTATGTCATATTGGATTGTTTTGTTTTATTTTTCATCACAATGCTTAATTCTTTGTCGTAGTAAACTCATTGTTGTTACTGTTGCTTTATTTATTTATTTATTATTCGACCGTATATGCCACCACTCCCCTGGGGCTCAAAGCGGCTTACAAGAATGACTAAAATCTAACACAATTTAAAAACAGCAATATCAAAAATCAAAGGCCTGTCGAAACAGGTATGTCTTACATGCCCTACATGCTGATAAGTCCCGCAAGGCACGGACTTCAGGTGGCAGAGTATTCCAGAGTGATGGTGCCACTGCTGTAAAGGCTCTGTGTCTGGTTGCTGTTAGAACCAAGGTCTTGACACTGGGAATTTCCAATAGATCTTGGTCCTCAGAACGGAGAGATCTCTGGGCTTGGTAGGGGGTGAGGCGGGCCCTCAGGTACATCGGCCCCAGACCATGCAATGCCTTAAAGGTGAGTACCACCTTTAAGGCCGGTGCTCAATTTTATTTTATGTGTATTATTCCGATATGTTTGTATTCACCTGAGGTAATGCCCTGTTCGCTCCACCAGCTCAACAGACATCTTGAGCAATGAAGTGGGAAATGTATGCTTCTGTTTGATGTACTGTCTTATGCGTGACTTAACAGGTTGCATTTTTATTTAATTTTAGTTTTAAAAGCATAATTTTTTTTTATATGTTGGGTTGTCAATTTTCGTTATTATGGGTGTATTGTTGGTGTGCTTGGGCATTGAATGATTGCCTTTTATGTTTGGAATCCGCCCTGAGTCCCTCTGGGGAGATTGGGCGGAATATAAATAAAGATGATGATGATGATGATGATTGAATGCTTGCCTATCCTGAGTCCCTTCGGGGGAGAGGGCGGTCTATAAATAGTTATTATGATTACTTGAAACACAACAAGATGAGTGCACAGCAAAGAAAATCACTATGCTGGCTGTTGTATTGGATCACACATCAGACACTTCCCAAGTGTCTAGGACTGTGTGATGTATCAGTGAATAATGCATGCAGATCTGAATAGGGTAGCCTTTTGCAGCTGACAGGTGGTTATTTTGTCTGCACTGATTGTTTTTAAGTCCAGGCCAAGGTCTTTAGGCACTGCACTCAGTGTAGTGATCACCACTAGGACCACTTTGACTGGCTTGTGCCAGTCTTTGCGGTTCTATCTCTAAATCCTCATATCATGTAAGTTTTTCCAGTTGCTTCTCATCAATCCTGCTGTCACTTGAGATTGCCACATCAACGATCCATACTTTATTTTTTCCCGTAATTGTGAGGTCAAGAGTATTGTGACCCCAAACTCTGTCAGTTGTTGTTGTTATTATTATTATTGGAGCCCCCGGTGGCACAACGGGTTAAATATTTGTGCCAGCAGGACTGGTCAGCGGTTCGAATCTGGACAGAGCAGGTTGAGTTCCCTCTATCAGCTCCAGCTCCCTATGCGGGGATATAAGAGAAGCCTCCCACAAGGATGGTAAAACATCAAACATCCAGGTATCCCCTGGGCAACGGCCTTGCAGACGGCCAAGTCTCTCACAACAGAAGTGACTTTCAGCTTCTCAAGTTGCTCCTCACATGAAAAAAATATTTATTAACACAGGTGTGGGCAAACATTGTCCCTCTAGGTGTTTTGGACCTCTAACTACAATTCCTAACAGCAGGCTCAAGTTTGCCCAGGTCTGGTTTCTCTTGCTCCCACCTCCCTCACAAGCGCGGCAAGTGGGGACTAGGGAGAGGGCTTTCTCGGTGGTGACCCCCCGTTCTGAAACTCTCTCTACAGAGAGGTTAGACTAGGGTCAACCCTGTCCATTTTTCCTAAAGACTTAAAAACGTGGATGTTCCACTGTGCCTTTGATTAAACAGTTCACCAAATAAATTTGAGGACCCCAGCCATAACTTAATATCTGGTTTCTTGCACTTTACCACTGTTCCCTGCCCTATATATTGTTCTAATTCACATTGGCCTTCTAGACTTAACTTATCATCTGGCTCCTGCACTTTTTCCATCAACCCTGTCCTTGCAACTGTATTGCACAAGCCCCTGCCTGCCTGAGTTTAGTAATTTGACTACTATGTCAGGCTATCGGTTGTTTGTTGATGGTGGTTTTTATAAATTGTACTGTGTTTATTTTAATCTATGTCTGACCGGGCTTGTCCCCATGTAAGCCACCCTGAATCCCTTCGGGGAGACGGTGGCAGGATACAAAAACAAAGTTATTATTATTATTTGAAACACAACAAGATTAGTACACAGCAAACAAGATCACTATGCTGGCTGTTGTATTGGATCACATGTCGGACACTCCCAAGTGTCTAGAACTATGTGATTTATTGGCGAATAATGTGTGCAGACCCAAATGGGGTGGCCTTTTGCAGCTGACAGATGGCCATTTTGTCAGCGCCTATTGTGTTTAAGTGCAGGTCAAGGACTTCAGGCAATGCACCCAGTGTGCCGATCACCACTGGAACCACCTGAGTCTTTGCAATTCAATCTTTACATGTAAAGTTGTTGTTGTTGTTGTTATTGTTATTATTATTATTTGAAACACAACAAGATGAGTCCATAACAAACAAGATCACTTTGCTGGCTGTTGTATTGGATCACATGTCGGACACTTCCCAAGTGTCTAGGACTGTATGATGTATCGGCGAATAATGCATGCAGATCCCAGTGGCCTTCTGCAGTTGGCAGATGGTAATTTTGTCTGCGCCGATTGTGTTTAAGTGCAGGCCAAGGTCTTTAGGCACTGTACCTAGTGTGCCAATCACCACTGGGACCATATTTACTGGCTTGTGCCAGAGTTTATGCGGTTCAATCTTTAAATCCTCATATCGTGTCAGCTTTTCCAGTTGTTTCTCTTCAATCCTACTGTCACCTGGGATTGCAACATCGACAATCCAAACTTTGTTTTTTAATACGATTGTGAGCTTACATTGGGTTGTTGCCTATCAGCCCGCCAGGACCCTAAGATCTTCTGAGGAGGCCCTGCTCTCTATCCCGCCTGCTTCACAGGTGCGGCTGGCGGGGACGAGAGACAGGGCCTTTTCTGTGGTGGCCCCCCGGCTGTGGAACGCCCTTCCTATGGAAGTAAGATCAGCCCCCTCGCTGATGGTGTTTCGAAGAAGACTAAAAACTTGGATGTTTGAACGGGCATTCGGTTAAACAGTGCAATTAATGTGAATGACTACAGGAATTGGAAAATCGGACGACGAATTGGATCATGATTTTAGTTATGAGTTGTATTGGGTTAACTATTGTTGTGCTAATATTGTGTATTATGCTTTTGTTGATCTTAAATTGTATATTGTGGTTGATTTTATTCTTGTTGTAAATCACGTTGAGTCGCCGGCCAGGCTGAGAAACTGTGGTATACAAGTAAAGCAATAAAAATAAATAAATAAATAAATAAATAAACTCTGTCTGAATTCGGAAGTTATAATTATTCGGAATTATTATTATTATTATTTGAAATACCACAAGATGAGTCCACAGCAGACACTCTGCTAGCTGTTGTATTGAATCACACATTGGACACTTCGCAAGTGCCTAGGACTGTGTGATGTATGGGCGAATAATGTGTGCAGATCCCAGTAAGGTGGCCTTTTGCAGCGGGCAGATGGTAATCTTGTCAGCACCTATTGTGTTAAAGTGCAGGCCAAGGTATTATTATTTGAAACACAACAAGATGAGTCCACAGGAGACACTGCTTATTATTATTATTATTATTATCAGGAGCTGACAGGCCATACAACACAAGAGGAGTTTTATTACAAGCTTTTATTACATTGGGTTGTTGCAGGTTTTTGGGGTTTTTTGGCCATGTTCTAGAAGCATTCTCTCTTGATGTTTCACCTACATCTATGAGGTCTCACAACCTTTGAGGATGCTTGCCATAGATGCAGGCGAAACGTCAGGAGAGAATGCTTCTAGAATATGGCCATATAGTTCGAAAAACCTACAACAAACCCAGTCTTTTATTACATTGCTGAGGCAAGAAAAAGGAGTAATTGGAGGGAGTGATGGATGATGCCTCTCCCTTCTGTCTCTCCCTCATAGTAACCCTCCTAACAGTCCCCCTGGCCTTGGAAAGACGAGGCCAAGTTTCCCCTCAACTTGAAGGGAGCCTGAGGGCGGCGGGTCGGCAGAAGCGACGCCCCTAGAAGGAAATGAAGGGAGGGCTTGGGCTCCTAAGCAGGCCAAACACAACCGCTTCCCTCAGCGCCCCCCCCCCCTCTCTCTCTCTCTCTCTGAGGCGACCCTCGAGCAAACCGGGACAGGCTCTCTGAGGCGGGCCCAATCCCCGCCACACACATTTAGAGAGGCCTGACTCTGAAGTAAGCCCCGCACGCTCCCCACCCATCCACCCCCCCTCTCTCCCCCGGCCTTGCCTTGCCCTCCTCTCCGCCGAGGTTCTGCAGCCGCTCCTTGCCGGAGGGCCCCCGGATCTCGACCCCGGGCCCGTCGAGGGGCGCGTCCTCCTGGCGGGGCGTGTTGGGCGGCGGCGGGTCCTTCCGCGGGTGGGCGCCCCTCTGCCCGACGCGCAGGGCGGCGAAGTCCAGCGTCTTGCTCTCGAAGGCGCCCTCGACGCTGCAGAACATCCCGCCGTACTTCTGCCGCGGGACTTGGTCGGCCGTGCCCGGGCGGGCCAGGTACACCGGCAGCTCCTCCTCGCCGCCCTCCGCCGGCTCCCCGCGCTCGCGACCACGCCGGGCCCCCGACGCCATGGCCCCTCGCACCCGCACCCGCCGCCGCCGCCCTCAACCGCCGCCGCGCCTGCACCCACCGAGGGAGGACAGCGCCAGGGAGGGAGGCCCGGCCACGAGGAGGCTTCGCAGGAGGCGGCGGCTCGGGGCAGAGGGAGGGAGGGAGGGAGGCAGAGGGAGGGAGAGAGGGAAGCCTTCCGCCTGCCCTCCGTCTATCGCGCGGAATGCGCGCGCGCTCTCTCTCGCGCTGCCTCTCTGTCTCGTGAGGCGCCTGCCTGCCCTCTTCGGCGGAGAGAGAGAGAGAGAGAGAGAGCGAAGAGGGAGAAGTGAAGCTGCAGGGCGCCACTCCATTGGGCCCTGCCCGGCCAAGGGGCGCTCCTTTTCAGTCGGGCCGCCTCAGCCCCACCACGGTTGGAATCCAACTTATATGATGTGATATCAAGCATGGGCAAACTGTGGCCCTCCAGGTGCTCCAATGCAACTTCAACTGAAATGAACTTTGCTCAAGCCTATATTATAGCATGGTTTTTGCCTTCCATGGATACAGAAGGCCAGCTTATGTCACGTTGTATTATGTTATCTTATATCAGGCATGGTCAAACTGCCGCCCTCCAGGTGTTTTGGACTGCAACTTCATCTGCAATGAAGTTTGCTCTTTCCTGTATTATGTCATTCCTTGTGGGAGGCTTCTCTCATGTCCCCACATCAAAACATCTGGACGTCTCCTGGGCAACGTCCTTGCAGACAGCCAATTCTCTCACACCAGATGCGACTTGCAGTTTCTCAAGTCGCTCCTGACACGACAATAATAATAATAATAATAGTCCTTGCCTTCCATGGATACAGAGGGCCAACTTATGTAATATTATATCAGGCATGGGCAAACTGCGGCTCTCCAGATATTTTGGACTGCAAATCCAATGCAACTTCAACTTAAATGAAGTTTGCCCATGTATTACTATATTGTGGTCCTTGCCTTCCATGGATACAGGGGGCTAACTTACCAGTATGTTATGTTATGTTATATCAGGCATGGTCAGACTCTCAGCCTCCAGATTGAATTGGAGACTGCAAGTCCAATGCAACTTCAACTGTTTCCTCATGCCTGTATTATATCATGGTCCTTGCCTTCCATGGATACAGAGGGCCAACTTCTATTATATCAGGCATGGGCAAACTTCAGCCCTCCAGGTGTTTTGGGTTGCAACTCCAACTCCAACTTAAATGAAGTTTGCACATGCGTATTTTATATCATGGTGCATGGATACAGAGGGACAACTTATGTTAATCGTGGTCCGCACTTTTCAGTTTTTACACACTTTAAGCCCCTAGGTGTTATGAACTATGTCAAGCATGGACAGACTTCAGCCCTCCAGGTGTTTTGGACTTCAACTCCCACAATTCCTAACAACTGGTTAGGAAGGCCCATGCCTGGATTATATAATATAACAAAATATGAAAAATGTTCTATTCCTGCTTTGAAAGTGTAATTTCCTGTTTAGTTGTGCAATGTTTACTTTGAAAGTAGTAGTTGTACTCCTGAAACTCCTTTTTATGTGGCTGCCACAAACTATTATTGAATTGGTCGAGACTCTATGACAGGCATTGGCAAACTTCAGCCCTCCTGGTGTTTTGGACTTCAGCTCCCACAATTCCTACCGGCTGTTAGAGTCAGAATACATCAGGCATGGGCAAACTTGGGCCAAAACACATGGAAGACCAAAGTTTGCCCATGCCTGCTCTAGGAGTATTCATTGAAAAACTATAGAAATAGGTGTTTCAGGATGTCCCGCAAAAACAAAATTTTTGCAGGACATCCCTATGTTTTTACAATAAGAGCAATTAGGAAATGACATTTATAACTCTGGAACAAAAAACATGTTATGTAGTGTTGTCTGCCATACAGACTGAGGATAACGTGAATGGCAGCTCTGCAGCACTTATGGCTCTGAGGTTGGGGAAAGGTGAAAGGTGAACCTCATATCCATAAGTCTTGTGTCTCAATTCAAACTCCTGAAACTACAGACAAAAGTTCAGTGGGTGTAGTTTCTGGCACAGCAATTCAAAGGTGCGTCTACAGCTGAATTTTTGCATCCCAGGCAGACATTAAAAATACAAAAACCTGCTCAGCAAGAAAGAAAACATTTTGACCTGTGTTTTATTTTTATAATAAAAGAGGCTAGAACTCAAAACTGTTCTAAGCTATTTTTTCCCAAATCTTAGAAAAAAAGAAGCTGAAAGAGTTTTACCAAAGCTCTTGTATTCTTCCTTATTCCAAATGGCTTTGGTTCAGGGCAAGCCGATCCTATCTAGAAAACATTCTAGCTAAAAGAAGATTAAAACAAAAAAACAAAGCCCTAGATTTTTCATTACTATCCATGAAAGCTGTAGACATGTGAGATTTTCAGGACTGAGGCTCCCTCCGGCTATACTTTCCAAATAGAAGCTTGTTTTCTGATAAAAGCCATTCTCTTAGATCACTGTAAACATCTATAATCATAAGACTTAGATTAAAGCTTATCTTGGAACAGAGAGTCAAATTCTAGTTAACCTGTTACAGAGCAGAAAAACTGCATAAAACATTTGAAATCTCACTGAGAATCCCTCTATGGACTGTATATGGGGTATATATGAGTGTAAAGTTATAACACATTGGCTTAGTGCAAACTACATAGATTACCAGACACTCTCTTATAATTTGTTCATCTGCTCCTTCTGCAGGGATTGCACAGTTGCACCAGAGTTCCTTGAAAAGAAGAAATGAAGAGATACAACTTTCTCCATACCAAAAGAGCTCTACTTATTGATGTCTGCTTCTTCAGCAATGGTTAAAGAAGCCACCCACCAAAAGGTAGCAATTCTCAATTAGGCAGCTTTAATAAATAAACCACACACACACAAACCCTTCATACATAAATTTACTTGCCATTTTAATGTTTATTTTGCCTGCAAACATTTTACTAATTAAATACTGAAGCAAAGAGGTAGTTTTGAAAACATACATTGTAGACTATGACATACAAAATGCTGGCAAATCAACAAAATGGGAAGCTTGTTCCAGCCTAGAGCTACCTCTAATATGTGCCAAGGTAAAAGGCATGGTGAATTAGCATGAATCTCATGCTTTATGTCTGAAGTGAGATTTTATGTCTCCCTCAACACAAGTTAAAAACAAATCCCTCAATATGTCCCAGATGGCTCAGTTGTTAGGCACTATCATTTCTTTCCAACAAACAATCTAATGTTGATTTTGGATAGATATTCTAAGTACCTGAAGAATATAGTCTTCCTAACTTCCAGAGTCATTCAGGGGAACTGAATGAAATATGGTGATGCATAATATAACAATGACCTGTAGCATATAGGGATATTCCTTAATAGAAAAGGTACCCCACTTTTGCACTAAATAGACTCTCATTTTCTGGTCTTAAAATTTTGGCTGAACATGGGTTCCAGTAAAAATATTGTCTCCAAATATTAAATATTAAACTCAAGTCTCTCTCTACAGCAGATCTCAACCACTAAGAAATTCTTTTCTAGAGGCTACAATGCATTCATATAATACGTCGAACAATTCTATTTAGAATTCCAAAATCTGAAATACTTCAAAATCCAGAATTGTCCCCAAGTGTGAAAAAGATAGTGGCACCTTTACCTTCCATGGCTGATACCAAATGAGAAACACTCTCCTGGGCACACAGAAGACTGGGCAACTTGGAAGGCGCTGAACAGACTACGCTCTGGCACCACGAAATGCAGATCTAACCTTAAGAAATGGGGCTGCAAAGTGGAGTCTGTGACATGTGAGTGTGGAGAAGAGCAAACCACAGACCATGTATTACAATGTAGCCTGAGCCCTGCCACATGCACAATGGAGGACCTTTTTATAGCAACACTACAAGTGGGCAGCTACTGGTCAAAGGACATTTAATAGAATGGCAAGTTTTTAAACTTTTCTCAAACACATTGGTTAAATAAATACCTTTGTCTTCTAATGGTTCAATGGACACCACCTTTCTTTCATGCACAAAATTGTTTTTAAAGCTGCATGCAGTTAAAGTAGTCATTTTGTCAATTGCAGATTTGATTGTTCATGGATTTGATTTTAAATGTTCTCTCTAGGATTCTGCAAGTCCTCCAGAATGATTCTATGGTCAACTTTCTCCAGTCATGCTGGAGAATCAGGAGATTTCTAGAGAAAACACTCCTGTTCAAATCTCTAGGTCCTCCAATGAAATTCTATAATCAGCTTCCAGCTCAAATTGACCATAGAGATGCATTTGAAGACTTAGAAATTCCCAGAAGGTATTTTCTTATGTAAAAAGAAAATAGCAATTTTCACTTTCATGAGGGTCTTGTGTTCCTAACCTCAGCAGAGGTTACTGTACACTCAGGTTATGTGTATAATGTATATGTTGTTGTTGTTCATTCGTTCAGTCGTCTCCAACTCTTCGTGACCTCATGGACCAGCCCACGCCAGAGCTCCCTGTCGGCCGTCACCACCCCCAGCTCCTTCAAGGTCAGTCCAGTCACTTCAAGGATGCCATCCATCCATCTTGCCCTTGGTCGGCCCCTCTTCCTTTTGCCTTCCATTTTCCCCAGCATAATTGTTTCTCTAGGCTTTCCTGTCTCCTCATGATGTGGCCAAAGTACTTCAACTTTGTCTATAGTATCCTTCCCTCCAATGAGCAGTCGGGCTTTATTTCCTGGAGGATGGACTGGTTGGATCTTCTCGCAGTCCAAGGCACTCTCAGAACTTTCCTCCAACACCACAGCTCAAAAGCATCGATCTTCCTTCGCTCAGCCTTCCCTAAGGTCCAGCTCTCACATCCGTAGGTGACTACAGGGAATACCATGGCTTTGACTAGGCGGATCTTTGTTGCCAGTGTGATGTCTCTACTCTTTACTATTTTATCGAGACTGGACATTGCTCTCCTCCCAAGAAGTAAGCGTCTTCTGATTTCCTGGCCACAGTCTGCATCTGAAGTAATCTTTGCACCTAGAAATACAAAGTCTGTCACGGCCTCCACATTTTCTCCCTCTTTCCAGTTGTCAATCATTCTTGTTGCCATAATCTTGGTTTTTTTGATGTTTAGCTGCAACCCGGCTTTTGCGCTTTCTTCTTTCACCTTGATTAGAAGGCTCCTCAGCTCCTCCTCGCTTTCGGCCATCAGAGTGGTGCCATCTGCATATCTGAGGTTGTTAATGTTTCTTCCAGCAATTTTCACCCCAGCTTTGCATTCATCAAGCCCCGCACATCGCATGATGTGTTCTGCATACAAGTTAAAAAGGTTGGGTGAGAGGATGCAGCCTTGCCGTACGCCTTTCCCAATCTTGAACCAGTCTGTTGTTCCATGGTCAGTTCTGACTGTTGCTACTTGGTCCTTGTACAGATTCCTCAGGAGAGAGACAAGGTGGCTTGGGATGCCCATCCCACTAAGAACTTGCCACAATTTATTATGATCCACACAGTCAAAGGCTTTAGAATAGTCAATGAAGCAGAAGTAGATGTTTTTCTGAAACTCCCTGCCTTTCTCCATTATCCAGCGGATATTGGCAATTTGGTCTCTCGTTCTTCTACCTTTTCTAAACCCAGCTTGAACATCTGGCAACTCTCGCTCCATGTATTGCTGGAGTCTTCCTTGCAGGATCTTGAGCATTACCTTACTGGCATGAGAAATAAGGGCCACTGTACGGAAGTTTGAGCAGTCTTTCGCATTTCCCTTTTTTGGTATGGGGATATAAGTTGATTTTTTCCAGTCTGATGGCCATTCTTGTGTTTTCCATATTTGCTGGCAAATGGCATGCATCACCTTATATGAAGCATAAATTAATTTTGTGTTAGACCATGACATCTCATGTATGTATATGCAAATTTTTAAAAATCCAAAACACTTCTTTTCTCGGCATTTCAGGTGTTGAACCTGTATCACTGTTATTACAGTTGACCCTATTTAAAATCCCATTTAAAATACTTTTTTAGTGATGCTATCTATTCTATTGTGGCAAGTTCTTGGTGGGATGGGCATACCAAGCCACCTTGTCTCTCTCCTGAGGATTCTGTACAAGGACCAAGTAGCAACAGTCAGAACTGACCACGGAACAACAGACTGGTTCAAGATTGGGAAAGGCGTACGGCAAGGCTGCATACTCTCACCCAACCTTTTTAACTTGTATGCAGAACACATCATGCGATGTGCGGGGCTGGATGAATGCAAAGCTGGGGTGAAAATGGCTGGAAGAAACATTAACAACCTCAGATATGCAGATGACACCACTCTGATGGCCGAAAGCGAGGAGGAGCTGAGGAGCCTTCTAATCAAGGTGAAAGAAGAAAGCGCAAAAGCCGGGTTGCAGCTAAACATAAAAAAAACCAAGATTATGGCAACAAGAATGATTGACAACTGGAAAATAGAGGGAGAAAACGTGGAGGCAGTGACAGACTTTGTATTTCTAGGTGCAAAGATTACTGCAGATGCAGACTGCAGCCAGGAAATCAGGAGACGCTTACTTCTTGGGAGGAGAGCAATGTCCAATCTCGATAAAATAGTGAAGAGTAGAGACATCACACTGGCAACAAAGATCCGCATAGTCAAAGCCATGGTATTCCCTGTAGTAACCTACGGATGTGAGAGCTGGACCTTAGGGAAGGCTGAGCGAAGGAAGATAGATGCTTTTGAGCTGTGGTGCTGGAGGAAAGTGCTGAGAGTGCCTTGGACTGCGAGAAGATCCAACCAGTCCATCCTCCAGGAAATAAAGCCCGACTGCTCATTGGAGGGAAGGATACTAGAGACAAAGTTGAAATACTTTGGCCACATCATGAGGAGACAGCAAAGCCTAGAGAAGACAATTATGCTGGGGAAAGTGGAAGGCAAAAGGAAGAGGGGCCGACCAAGGGCAAGATGGATGGATGGCATCCTTGAAGTGACTGGACTGACCTTGAAGGAGCTGGGGGTGGTGACGGCCGACAGGGAGCTCTGGCGTGGGCTGGTCCATGAGGTCACGAAGAGTCGGAGACGACTGAACGAATGAACAACAACATCTATTCTCAGATATTTAGCTAGCAGTAAACTATCTTTCAATAATATTTGATTTAAAGAACTGATAAGGCCTCCTAATCAGTACATTTATTCCAGGATAATCATAAAAACTAGTAAGCAGAGCAAAAAAGTGTTTTAAGGTAGCTCTCTACTCAATTTCCTGGAAGATAGTCCCATTGAATCCAGTGAGACTTACTTCTGAGTGGATATACATACATAGCAAAGCCCTGTGAACAATTCCTGTTAAGTAATCCAGAGAATTCACCATAGTCTCTTGGGTACTTTCAGACAAAGCTTTTAGTGTGTGATCATCCTGCGACATTCACAGAAATTTACAGGCAATAAAGACATCATCATGTTCTGCTTGCTTTCCCAAAGGGTACATCTTTCTTCTATGTATGTACTGATATTGGTATTAATATTGGTATTTGAGTCACGGAAGGCTAGAAAATAAAAAAGAGAGAAAAATCAAAACAAATATATACAAAACCATTCAGAATGTATTTTAAAAATGCATTTTAAAATCTATAGAGTTAAAAGGGGGTTCTTTAAAGATAAGAGAAAAAATAGTACAGCACATGAGTAAAAGCCCTTTCCTTGTAAAACAGTTTGAAATAGCTTATTGGAAGGATCTTCCATTGCTTTCAGAAGAATAACAATGGAGGAGTCCTACGAAGGGACTTTCAGTCTGGGAGTAGATACTGAAAAGATCCTCTTGTGTTCCTACCAGATGTGCATATGGAGTTGGTAGGAGTTGGAGGCCCCTTCCACACAGCTGTATAAAATCCACATTGAACTGGATTATACGGCAGTGTGGACCCAGATAATCTAGTTCAAAGCAGATATTGTGGATTATGTGCCTTGATATTCTGGGTTATATGGCTGTGTGAAAGGGCCCGGAGAAAGCCCTTCCCTGAAGATCTCAAAGCCCAGGCAGGCACATATGGGTAAAGGGTTGACATGAGGGTAAAGGGTTCAATATCTGATAACCAGCATTTTGAATTGTGCCCAGAAGCATACTGGTGTCCAGTGGAGCTACTGTAACAAGGGGATCCCTTTAACAAGCCCCAGTTAATAGCCTGCTTGCAGCTCTTTAGACCAGATGAAATTTCTGAACATTCTTCGAAAGCAGCCTCATGCAGAGCACATTACAGTAATTCAAACAGGATGTAACTAAGGTATGTGTCATCGGGCCAGATCAGATGTCTCCAGCTGGTATACTAGCTTTAACTGTGGAAATGAACTCCTGGGCACCATAGAAACCTGAGCATCCGGGTTCAGGGATAAATACAGAAGTATAGCTGAACTTCAGACTAGAATCTTAAAGGGAGAGTGTAACCTCATCCAAAACAGGCTGAATCCCTGTTCCTGCATATGTGTTTTGACTGACCACCTTTCATTTGTGTGGATTTTAATTTGTTTGCCTTTATCTAGTTCAGAACCGGATGTAATTGGCATATCGGTGGCATCAAATTCCAAAACTCTGGATCTCTCCCTGCAGTTTTATTTACTGTATATAAGCATATAAAAGTTGGCCCTATAACAGTATAAAAGTCAAGGGCAGATTTTGGGACTTGAATAATGGATTTTGCTTTGATCCTTAGATATGTCGAGGGTAAAAGTCGGGGCATGTAACAAACAAATCAGCATCTCTCCTTTTAAAAACTCAGAGGGGACATATTTAAGAAGAGCAAAAGAGAACAAAAGGATTTATTTATTTGAGCAGTTACAATGTGAGAGGGAGTAAATTGCATCTTAAAATGTCTACATATATATATAAAAACAGATAGGGAAGTAATAAAAATGATGAAAAAGAATGTGTGGAGGAAAGGGAGAAGTGCAAGAAAAACAACCTGCCTCTAAAAGGACCCATCATTAAGGCAGTGACAAGAGGCAGAAGTGAGAAGTACTCGCACCCCATTACCCCTCCAGAGAAAGAAAGTCTTCCCTCCTTT